GTGTTAGCAGGTCTGATTGTTCAAAGGAAAGATGGGAATGTTAAGAAGTAGGAGTGAGCATTTCCTTGACCCACTTGGGAAGAAAAGTTTATCACTGTGTAAGTTGCACAACAATGTCCTGGCCACCTGCCATGCGACCTAGGGAAAGTCTGTTCACATCACGGATCTTCAGTTCCTCATTTTACAAACAGAAATAGCAATGTTCCTTCTCTTTTGCAAGGGGCTGTCAGAACTACAGATGAACATGCCTTATCAAGTATGAATTATCAACGCCCATGTACATATTTTAATTTTGGCTTTTATAGAGTGTATGGATTGAAAGAGAACCCAAGCTATGGCCAGTATTGGATGGCAGGTGAGTGTTCATGGATTAATACATAGAACCCAGGAGAACAAAATCTACAGATACAAACTGCACATGGAGTTAGGATGAAGGCTTTTGTGGAATTTTTATTTTGAATTTTCTGATATTGGTGGGGGGAAACATGTTTGCAATGTATTTTGTTCTAACAGAAGTTTAGTATCAGAGGGGTAGCTGTGTTGATATAGATTTCCACTCCATACAGCTAAATGCAGTGCCTTGCATGGTGTCAAGTATCAGAGGGGTAGCCGTGTTGATGTTTATTCATCTTGTGGAAGGTATATTTTTGCCTTCCTTAAATCTTAAAGTTATTGTAAGGGAATTTTCCTTTTTATATAATCATTTGAATGTTTTTATTTAAGGAATAATAAAGTGTTTGTTTTTATTATTTTGAGGTCCTATGATTCTGGACACCAAGAGCAATAGTTATCTTATATCTGAATTGAATATATATGTAGCTGACAACAACAAAATTTAAAATGCAAAGTCAGTAAAGTAAGAATGTATTTGCTGTCCATAGAGTGAAATAACCACAGATGTGAGTTTGGCTTCCTAATGAACCTGTATTCAGTTACTCAGTATATCTGTGATTAAAATTATCTGTTGATGTGGATAGCATCAAAGTTGTCAAACACAGTTTAATAAGCTTCAGAGGGGTAGTCGAGTTAGTCTATAACTGGAAAACCTGAAAAAACAACAAATAGTCTAGAAGCACATTAAAGACTAACAAAACATGTAGATGGTATCATGAGCTAAAACCATGAAAGCTCATGATACCATCTACATGTTTTGTTAGTCTTTAAGGTGCTGCTAGACAGTTTTATAAAGCAGCTGTTCCAACGATGTTGTAGGGTCTTTTCAGATGTGTAGGTACACAAGATCCCTGCCTTGCAAACAGTTATGCCCGTGCATACAGCTGTACTCAAGCATTTATTCTTAGCCACTTATTTGGACTAGAAGTGGATGGATATGCTAGCCAGAGCTATTTGTGCTCAGGACTAGAGCCGGGTGCGCATTGTGAGGAAGCTGGACCTGTGATGTGTTTAAAAATGAGGTCTGAGTCCTATTGCTTGCTTGATTTCTCAAGTGCTTGGGCTTTTCGAAACACTTTCAGTTATGGCATAGCAGTGGTGTTGTACAGCCTTGGTTATTCATGTTGCAGCAAGGGGTCGTTGTACGTCATTCCCTTCTGACTGTGCTCTTCAGTTCCTATCACATGTTGCTTTTGTAGCAGATCAGTCGTTGAGAACAGAGCAGGAAGGTGAAGGCGACAGCACTGGGGCTAGGTAGAGGCAGGTACCTGAGCCTAGGTAGAGGCAGGTCTTCAGGGGTTCATGATGCCTGCAGCCCTTCCCTCCTCCCCTCACTACCACACATGCATATAGCAGCCCCGGCTGCAATCTGGTGTCTGAGTTTTTTTTCTGAAAAACTCACTACTTGGGGTGAGAGAAGAGGGTGACTGAGTAGAAGGTAAGCAACAGGCAGGTCTCCCAATCCTGGACAGCGGGAACAGTGTTCTGTTCAGGGCAATTTCCTGGAGAGATAAGCAGAGCACTTTATAGTTACAGGGCACTTTTGTTCGTGGGTAATGAACTTGTCAGTTCCATCTAGCTTTCTTGTCCCAAGAATTAAAATTCTTCTTTGAAACATGTCCCAATGGTATGAATCAGGTGTATTTGTGAATGCTTTCATTGTGCAAAGCTGGAATCTGCAGTGCGCATTTACTTAAAAGGTTTTAAAAACACTGGGACTTACATACTCTTGAAGGTTAAGGCCAGAAGCAACTGCCAGATCATCTAATCCAGCCCCAGCTCCCCCCACCCACTCAACTTCCTACCCCCACCGCCCTGCCCTGCCTCTTGCACTGCCCATACACCCCAACCCCTTGCCCTGAGCCCCTCATAACCCCAAACCTGACTCCTGCACCCCCAGCAGTAGAAGTCCCATGAGATAAAGTCTGTGAGTGCAAGGTTTCATTTATGTGATTATTAATCACCATGTCAATTATCAATAATATTAAGTTGTATATTTTCAGTTGTGCAAATGGACTTTCTTATACTTGCTCTTTGTTGACCACTTGTTCTGCATTTTGATGTAGTTTGTCTCTTTGGTTTAAAAGGCTGCCGACCCCTGAGCTAGTCCAACGTCTTTGACATCACAGGACTCTAATTCCCACCCAGTTACCCAATTGAGCCCAAAAGCCTGGATTAGACTCAGTATTATAGCCCTCAGGAGACTAAACAATTGTGTGTTACAATAGAGAATAGGAGAAACTAAGGTGCATGAAACCTGAGAGGCCCCTGCAATGGCAAGCAGTTGGTTTAGTGAGCTGCACCCATGCTACTGAGGCTACGTCTAGACTGCAAGCGGATGCTTTCTTTTGAAAAAGCACAGTTTGCATTACATAGCTCCTTTTTTCAAAAGAGCACTTTCGAAAAAAGGCATTCTTCCTCGTAAAATGAGATTTTCAGCAGTCGAAAAACTGCCACATTCTTTCGATTTACTTTCAAAAGAATGCGGCAGCAGTCTAGATACAGAGAACGTTTTTTTCGAAAAAACCCTGTAGTCTAGACACACCCAGAGAGAGACCAAACCCTCTTGAGGTTCCTGCCAATCTGAACTGAGGCAAAGTTCCTTCTGGACCCCCCAAAAAGGCCATCAGTACAACTCCGGCACGAGACAGACACATCAGCCAAACATCTAAGGAGGAGAATTCTCAGCCCCACCTCAAAGTTCTAGCCACCACCACCCTCCTCCGCCCCTTTTCTGTCTCCCATCTCCCGCCATGGTCCTCTCTCATGCTTCAGAGGATAACGGGGAAACTAACAACATTGGGTGAAGGAAAATATTTCCTTCTGAAACTCTACTGACAATCATGTGAAGCCCTGAGGGATGAGATTTAGGAATATTTTCATCTGTCCTTCTATACAAAAATACTTGAAATTATTTGAGTTGGCCACCTAATTTCATGCTAATAAATTAAATGCTACAGATTGGTTTAACTGACTGTTGGGTAGAAGATTAAAAAAAGAAAATGGCGTGTGTTCGTTTGAATACATTGTGTTGTTGCAGAAAGCTCTTTTAATAATTTCACTTCAATTATACATCAAAGTGAGAGGAGGGAATGTGAAAAGGCCAAATAGTCAGTGCAAGATATTGTAACAGAATGAGAATAGAATAAGTGGCATTGAAGAAAACCACTGGAAGAAGCTACCTAGGGATCTGTTAAATCTGGTTAAAAACAAGACAGTTACTGTTACAGTATATTTTAAATGAGGAAATATTAACATAAATAAAAACAGTTGTAAGGGGCAATAGGGGCAAAGAATTCCATACCAGCCAGTAGAAGAAGTATGTTCTTAACCAGGAGCAGGCAAATACCAGCCTGCAGGCCGGATCTAGTCTGCCAGGGTTAGCCCCTGGCGGGCCCTCACCCCATTGTATTTACCTGTGCCTCTGCAAGCACAGGGGATCATAGCTCCTATGGCCACGGATCACTGCTACTGGCCAATGGGAGCTGCAATCGCCCATACCTGCAGAGGTTAACCCAATAGGGGCTAACTGCCGCTGTTTTATTGCCCACTCTTGTGTTTAACAGAAGTTGGCTAGTTCTCTTGTGAAAGATGGAAGAGTTGTAAGTTCATTTGAAAATGAGTTCCAAGGTTTTTTACCTTGCTGTTGGGTATTAGTCTCAACAATGAATATGAACTCCTGGGTTCCTAAGGCAACTTGCAAAAGGAAACAACTTGTGATGAGAACCCTGTCCCAAGATGCAGGGGCTTCTCTACTAATTCACCCTGGCAAACAGATCTGGCGGAACCTATAACTGAAGTATAAATGGCCTGGACTGTCTTCCTGAGATAGGACAGGCAGCAGGAAAAATCCCACAATAAATCTGAATTGTTGTGCTTGGGGGAGAGGGGTGAGTATGTTAAGGTAACTGCCAGGAAAGAGGTAAATGTGTGTTAGTATGTGTGCAGCAGGGTAGGAATGTCCCCTGACTAGTGTCCTCTTTTGCCTTTTGTAAACCATACATAAATAAGGCTTGAAACAATTTTGTGCTTGTTTGGGGAGGGAAAGATTTTTTTTTTTCACTTTAGAAACTTAAATCCCATTTATGCTTGAAGACCAGATAATTTGTGAAAAATATGGCATCAAAAGCTGAAGAGCTGAGAGGAGAGAGGATTTTTAGTCAGACTGCTGAAAACACTTTTTGTGTTTGTTTGTCTTACCACATGTTTAACTTAGGTTCCTAATGAACACTCAGGAGAAAAGTTATCTTTGTTTAAAAACGTGCCTTCCCGACAACCAAGTTGTGGGTGATCACAATGCCTGTCTCGGGACTCTGTAATAAGTGCTTTAGTAAACTGAGGAGAGACTCAACATTACTGAGGTGCAAACCCAGATTTGGGGAAAAATCCTTTGTATAACAATCTGAATGATAAAAACAAGTGGATCCACTTGAGACTAAAGAAGGATGTTGTACCTTGGTCTCTGGAGGCATATGCTCTTAACTATAAAAAGCAAGGGAAGCCTAAGCAATGGATCCATAGGGATAGTGAATATTTCCTGACCTTGAGTGTTGCTAATTACATATTACTTCTTGAATTGTTTTTTAAAGTTTTTTTCCTTATTGCAGGTCTCTTATTTGCCATGGCGGCCAACAGCCACCGGGTCCAAACCCATTCCCTTCAGGCAACATTAAATTCTGTTTGCCCCCGTCCTCTGAGTCTAAGCAGCCACGCTCTATCTAAGAGCTCCTCAAGTCTGGCAGGCACTGGGCAAGGGAGTTCTGATGAAAGACAGAGCAACAAACAAGATCTCAAGAAGAGCCTCAGTAGTACAGTCTGCCAAGCACAGGTGAGCAAGAACAATGTTGGCAGTACCCCTAGTTCTGAATGGTCTTCCACACAGTCGGGAATGGTGGAAAGTTCCCTGGCTATCCAAAGCAGGAGTGATCAGTCCCTGGGTGATAGTGTACAGAGCAGAGCCAAGACTACAAACTGCTTCCTGACAGTTGGTCACATTCCAGTATCCCTGGAAGGAAAGAACACCAGGATGCATGTCAAGAGCAGCACCGCTGAGAACATTCTGTCAGTCTGTGACACATACCAGCAGAGTGGGAATCAGACGGAAAGACTGGAGGCTGCATTTCAAAGAAGCCATTCTGACCTAACATGCAGCTGCAAGCAGCAGAGTTTGGTCACGCACATGGAAACTAGTGCCACCCACTCCAGTGTAAGTTCTTCTAACACGAGTTATGCTACAACCATGCAGAACATATCTTTCCAAACACAGAGACATGGCTCGGGAACATATGAAAACACTCCTACCTATCCAAACCAGGTGGCTCAGATTCCCACTGCATATAGAGACCAAAAAGTGCCCACAAACAGCTTCGACAGCGGTGGTATCACACACAACACTACCATATATACAGATCCCGGAACATTTCATACGGCCGGGCTGGGACCACACATGCCTGGAAGTAGTTTCCCAAACAGGACAATATGCAGTCAGTCAATGGGGCTTAACCCAGGTGGCATGATTTATAATAATGTAGCAAGCAGTATATACTCTCCCACGGCTATGACAATTCACAACAGCATTGCCTTACCATATGGTAAGGACTCTCTTATGAAGACAGATGGCACTGTTCCTGCCTATTGCCATTCTTTGCCAATACCCTCTCTTCAACTTGTTCCAAGGTTGGTATGTTCACTTAGTGAATCAGGAAGAGAACAGGGAACTCCTGGATATTGCCAGTCCTTGCCTGCTTCAGATCCCTTTCCTAAACTGGTGTCCTCTTTTAGTGAATCAGGCCTGGATGCAAAGCAAATCCTGAAATGCTGTAGCGTTTCTGGGGAGAACCTGTCACACGCTCAGCACTGTGTTA